ATACAATTCAGAGAAAAACTATTGCACTTGTAAATTCGATCTTGTCTCCACTACTCGTTCGACACCTCATTTTGTTTACATGTTCAGTCGACTTGGAGTTTCTGTACCTGCATCGCCATGACGCTGAAGGACCGCCGAAGTCCTTGCGACCTCTCGAACGATGTTCACTGCGGGAACCAGCGGCGCACAAAGCTTTGAGTTGACAAGACATGGACCGCGACGCGTTTTGTATCGTGAGATTGGGTGAGTGGTTGTTGCTTGGAAAGATGGTCCATTGCGTGGTCACGATTGCAGGTCCCACTGTGGATGCATAAACGGATTGCATAATCACGTTTTTTGGGACTCGACGCGCACGTTAAATACGCCAAACTCCTGGGCCACCACATCCTAAGCGTGAATGGCAACCATTTAACGGGTACGCTGCGCAGCAAGAATGGTCCCATGTGACGATTGGTGCTGCCATTCTCACTAGTAATCGATGACCGCGGTGCCATCGCCTCTCAAGCCACGGTGCCTCAGCGATTGCTCGCTCCGGTCGCAACCCACGTGCGAAAAACCCATTTAACGTTAAACGCGCCGAAAGGGCCAGTGGTCACCGAATTTGATTGCCCTTTGTCCCAGGTTTGAAACGCGAGCCGGCGACATCATCATCGTCGTGATGGGATTTGGAGATCGGACAAGTGGTTCATTCTTTTATTTACGACACCATGGACACACCTTTTAGCACGCTCACGACACCGACCGTCGTCGACGACGTTCCGTTCGAGGAGCACGTTGCCATCCACGTCGACTGCCTCGAGTCCGACGCGTCGACGGCCTTGGCGCCCGGACCGGTGATCGAAACCATGTCCAAGCCCGCGTTTGCACTCTACTTGCAGTCGGGCCTCGTTGTGCTCATGCAAAACCTCCTGCCGCCGCTCAAGACGTACGTCTTTGCCAACTACCTCCACGGCTCCAGCGCCCACATTGCGCAGCTCACGGCGCTCGAGAACCTCGCGTGGACTCTCCGCGTCTTCTTTGCGATTCTCTCGGACGCCGTGCCGGTCTTTGGCTACAAGCGCAAGTTTTGGATGGGCGTTGGTTGGCTCGTCACGCTTGCCAGTCTCTGTGTCATGGCCTTCTCCGACTTTGGCGCGCCGTACTGCGACCCAAACGACTACCCGGGCTGCTGGCACCCGAACGCCAATATCACCAGCGGCGCCTTTGACCTCGCTGCGCCGAGCCGCGTCAGCTGGTACCGCATCCCGACCTTCTTTGCGACGCTTGGCGTCGTCATTGTCGCCGCGTCTGCCGACGGGCTTCTCGTCGAGTACTCGCAGCGGGAGCCGATTGTTACGCGCGGCCAGATCATGGTCATGACGTACGCGACGACGGGGTCTGGCGGTCTCAACGCGCGCTTCTTCAACCAGTTTTTTCTCAACGGCGAGCGCTACGGCGGCACCTACAGCTTCTCGGCCGGTCCCAACGTCGCCTACTACTTTGCCATCTCGATGGCGCTGCTCGGCCTCGGCCTCGTCGTGGGTATGTTTCACGACACCAAGCCCGCGCTCGTCAAGCAAGAATCGTCATCGTCGTCGCAGCGCTGGTCGTCGGGTCTCTGGAAGCTGCTGCACAACCGCGGCATCGCGCAGCTGCTGGCGTTCCGCTTCGCCTTCAACCTCTTCTCGATGATCTCGGGCGCGCCGATTCTGTCGTGGGTCACCAACCTCGACATGGGCTGGATCAACATCACGCCGCGCCTCCTCTTCATCTCGGCGACCATGTACTATGGCCGCTTTGCACTGCAGTGGAACTGGCGCCGCGTCCTCGCTTTCTGGACCTTTTCCAACATTGTGCTCATGGCGCTCGCCACCTTCTTTGTCATCTGCGACGTCTCGCGCAATGCGTACCTCTACTCGGTGCTGCTCGTGCTCACGGGCGTCCCCGTGGCCATCATCAACCTCATCATGGGTTTCCTCATGGTCG